GAGCAGCTGGTGAGCTTGAGCCGCCGACCTTGCAGTTTAAACAGTTTGCAGTCTGGTACATTAACCCAAAGCACCACACCAGGACTCCTGTTGTACCTTACCAAGTCATGATAATTTGACAAATTAATTTGTTCTATATTATAGTCAAAACAACAGTTTACAAAAAGGCAAATATTGTATGATTCCACTTATATGAAATACCTAGAATAGGAACATGTATAGAGATCAAAATGTAGCAATGGCAGGAGGGAGGGGGAAAGATGAAACCATTGCTGAGGGGATGCGGAGCTTCAGTTAAAGGTGATAGAAATATTTGAAAATGGCTAGCTAGCAGTGATGGTTGCAAACCATGATAAATGTAATTACTGTCACTGAATTGTACATGTCAGAAATGTTGAAATGGCAAATATTGTATTATATACATAACACAATTTCAATGCCATCAGATAAGTTTATATTATTAGGGCATTCATATTTATTGCTAAGACTAAGTTATGAAGGACCGTTGTGTTATACGTTTATATTCTTATATTCCTTATATTGGAAAGTAACAAATCCATTTTTTTGTTGTTATTGTTGTTAAGTGTCATAGAGTCGATTCCGACCCATAGTGACCCTCTATAGGATTTCTGAGGAGCAGCTGGTACGTTTGAACCACCAACCTTGCTTATCCTAAAGTGCCATGCCAGGACTCCAACAAATCTTTATTTCATTTAAAATTCTTTCTAGTCTTCTAGTTTTTGTTAACTTATACTCTTTCAATCAAGATTATCTGACTCAGTGTGATTTAAATATAATAAATGCATTTCTCCTATGTTAAAATGCTTTCATCATTTAGGACAATCATTGTATCCCATTCTAGAGAAGATACCATAGTCCTTTGTTGTATTTTTACCATTATTGTGGTTGTTAGTGCCGTAGAGTCGGTTCCAACCCATAGCGACCCAGTATAGGGTTTCCGAGGAGCAACAGTTCAAACTGACCTTGAGGTCAAGTGCCTGTCCTGCTGCTCATCTCAGGGTCAGCAATTCGAAACTACCAGCCATTCTGTGGGAGAAAGATGAGGCTTTCTGCTCTCCCATAAAGATTTACAGCCTCAAAAACCCTCTACAGGGTCGCTATGAGTAGGAACCAACTCCATAGCACACCACCACCATTGTGAATACTGATAAATCTTTGTTTCCAGTCACACTTGTCTCCATACAAATATAAAAGCTGTTGATTGATGGAAACTTATCCCTTTCCATTGAGTCTATTCTGACTCATAGCAGCCCTATAGGACAGAGTAAGTAGACTGTTCCCAAGGCTGGAGTCCTAGGGTGGCACTGTAATGTAAGTGCTGGTAGACTGTTAACTGAAAGGTCGGCAGTTCAAATGCACCAGCTATTTCTCAGAAGCTCTTTACAGGGTTGCTTTCAGTCTGGAAGCGACTCAAATGCATTTAACAACAATAACAATCTTTATGGAAGCAGGCTGCCACATATTTCTCTCTGGTAGAAATATACCCAAAAAACCATTGCCATCCAGTCAAGTCTAACTCATATTGGTATTGCTAAGTGCAATTGAATCAGCTCCTACTAATAGCGACCCTGCATAGCATTTCCAAGGAGCTACTGGTGAGTTTGAATTGCAAACCTTGTGGTTAGCAGTCCTGTGCTTATCCTACAACACCACACCAAGACTCCTGACTCATTTTTTTGTTGTTGTTTTTGTTGTTAGCTGCCATCGAGTCAGCACCAACTCATAGCAACCTTATGCACAGCAGAAGGAGACACTGCCCGATCCTTGGCCAACCTCACTATTGTTGCCACACTTGAGTCCATTGATGGGAACCATTTCTGTTTTAATGTAGTACATTTGGCATAAAATGATTTCAGGCACTCTTCTCAGACCTTGATCAAAGATAAAACTGGAATTTCTTGGCACTTTTCTGACTCCTCATATGATGTGTAGCACTATTCTTAAATGTTTCTTTTATGTTCTAAAATAAAATTGGGCGTTTTTTGTTGTTTTTTTTTTCTTATTCAAGGGGACGTGTCAACAAAGAAAATATTCCTTCTGGATTCAGCAACCTTGATGACTGTATTTTGAATGCTCAAGAAGTAGAAAAATTACACGAAAATAGTTCTGGTTATATTAGTGAAAGGAGCAACCCTAAACGTCAGAAATCCAGTCCCAAACTTTCTGAGCTCAATGAAAATCAAGATGGTCTTGTGGTAAGTGAATGTTTGTATAAAATTAGTTAGGGAACATCACATCCCTTTTTCCTTTTATTGCAAAACAAATCAAAAATACTTCCAGAGTCTTGAGTTGCACAGAATTATAAAACTTTAGAGTAACTAAGTTTTTATTTGTGTTTTTCTTAGTAAATATAAAAATAGCAGTAATAGTCTATGCTGCTAGAGGAACCAAAGATAGCATACACTGATTCCCATGTTTTCTAAATTGCTTTTTTATTACATGCTTTCAAGCATTTTTTTTTGGAATACATTTTTTAGAAAAGCATTTCTATATATTTTGATCCATTCTGTTTGTTCTTGTCTATATGACTATATGAAGTCCTGGTGTGGCGCTGCAAGATAACCGCTGGACTTCTAAACATAAGGTAGACAATTCAAAGCCTCGAAAACCCTATACAGGGGTGCTATGAGTTAGAACCGACTTGACGACACTGAACAACATATGACTAAGGGAGCACAGTGACTTTGTAGGATAAGCACTGAACACCACACCACAAGGTCGGAGGTTCGAGTCCATCAACCACTCCACAGGAAAAAGATGAGGCTTTCTGCTCCCGTGAAGATTTATAGTCGTAAACACTCCATATAGGGTCTGTATAAGTCGGAAACGATTTGATGGCATATGACAACAACACATGACTATATGTGAAGGGTTTCTATATATGCATACATAAGGGAACTTCAGAACATTCATGGAAAAATGGAATTAAAAGGAAATGGAATTTTCCATGAACTTTTTGAAGCCCCCTTGTGTTATGTGCATGTGTTTATACATGCATATATATAAACACACACATATATATGGAGTCCTAGTGTGGTCCTGTGGAATAATACACTGGACTGCAAGGTCGTTTTGAATTGCAAGGTCGGTAGCCACTCCTCAGAAACCCTAAATACAGGGTCGCTATGAGTCGGGACTGATATATATATATATATATATATATATATATATAGGAACTAACCCAACAACACATAACAACAACTATAGAAAGTGGGCAAGTTACTTAGCCTTTACTGTTTTATCTGTAAAATGGGGATACTAATACCTTATTATATTATTATGATATTAAATGCAACTAATGAAGTGATATTTTCAATAACCGCATATGCATGCGAAACATGGACAGTGAATAAGGAAGACTGTAGAAGAATTGATGCATTTGAGTTATGGTGTTGCAGAATATTGAAAGTACCATGGGCTGCCAAAAGAACCAACAGATGTGTGTTGGAAGAAGTGCAGCCAGAGTGCTCCTTGGAGGCCAGGATGGCCAAACTTTATCTCATACTTAAGACATATTGTCAGTGGGGACCAGTCACTGGAGAAGGATATCATGTTTGGTAAGGTGGAGGGTCAGAGAAAAAGAGGAAGACCCCTAGCGAGATGGATTAGCAAAGTGGCAGCATCAATGGGCTCAAGTGTGGCAACAACTGTGAGGTTGGCCCAGGACCTGGCAGTGTTTCGTTCTGTTGTGTATAGGGTCTCTATGAGTTGGTACTGACTCAATGGCATCTAACAACAAAGGATAAGAAACAAGTAAATAAGTAGTCAGATGGCAGGACATGGTATGGACCCAGTGGACCCGGAGACAGAAAGCTGTGATGCTGGAGGAGGGACAGAGCAGCACCAGAGATAAGCAGTGGACTTCCCAGTCCGTGGAACAAATAAAACTGAGTGATTTGGGGCAGGAGATTTGCTTGCACAGTAGGTTTGTTGGTTTGTTGACCCGTGGAGCTAGAGTCCAGTGCCTTCAGGCTGAGGCTTATGGGGCAATGTTGTGTCCTATGGGCATTTACCAGCATGCCTAAAAGAGCTTTGTAGCATTGACTGGGCAGAGAGATGCCAGCCTGTGGACACAGCCAAGAAGAGGCTGTGCTGACTGGAAAAACTGTGTCCTGAGCATTTCTAATCCTGCATTGTAATCTATTATATTCCCTAATAAACCCAATAACTGTGAATGTGATGTCTGAGTTCTATGTGTTCAATGCAATGAACTATCATACCTAGCTGAGTAGAAAGTACTGTTAGAGGGTTGCTTTGTTGCCATATTTTTTTACATGGGACTAGAGCGTAGTGGTTACGAATCGGGCTGCGAACCTTAAGGTCAGCGGTTCGAAACTACCAGCTGCTCCGCGGGAGAAAGATGAGGCTTTCTACTCCCGTAAAGATTTACACACCCTCGGACACCCTATACAGGGTCGCTATGGGTCGGAACCGACTCGATGGCACATAACAACAACAACAACAAGAGTCTTAATGGAGTCCTGATGTGGCGCTGGGGGCTAATGCGTCAGACTGCAAAGTCATTTAAACTGCAATGTCGGTGGTTCAAGCTCACCAGCTGCTCCTTGGAAACCCTATACAGGGTCACTATGGGTCAGAATGGACTCAACGGCACTTAATAACAACAAGAAGAAGAGTCTTAATAGATTTATATCGAGAGAGTCAATAGAGAAAAAAATGGAGTAGTGTGTTAGTATTCATTTCTTATAGATCCAGCTAACAGATAGCTCATGTACTTTTCAAATATCTAACTTGTTATCAGTTATTTTGATGGAAAAGGGGAAGTAAAAACTTGACTAGATGAGTGCATAGAAAGTAGGAGAACAGGAATTGAATACTTTAAAGAAAGTCTTTGAATGGGTTGTACATAAAGGTCTGAAGAGAAATGAGGCAGCAGCTGGAAAAAATGTGAGATTATTGTTGTTGTTAAGTGCTGTCAAATCAATTCCGACCCATAACAACTCTCTATAGGGTTTCCAAGGAGCAGCTGGTGAGCTTGAACCACCGACCTTGCAGTTCAAATGACTTTGCAGTCTGATGCATTAGCCCACAGCGCCACACCAGGACTATTAAGAGAGGGTTTATTAAAGGTAGATGATCCAAGAGAATTCGAGATGGGGAAATGATGATGCAAGAGAACGGAATTAATTGTAAGGGCAATGTTCTTGAGTCATGGATGGGGATGACACCTAGAAGATAATTAGGGGATTTGATCTTAAGTTATTTTGATATAAAGATCATCTCATCAGAAACTTAAACAATTTCTCCATGACATTAAAGATTCATCCTTGTGTTCTAATCACAATCTACCTTTTACCTAAGAAAAGTAGATCGATTTCTTTCTTAATCAAGCTCACCATATATAACCAAGCTCACAATATTTCTGGACACTTGTAGTATCCCTTTCCATTGCACACTCTTCAGTAAAAAAAAATGCACTGGTAACTCTAAATTATGTTTTGTCAACTATTGTTTAACTTTTTTCTTTAGCTAGACACCATCATGGAAAATGAAGGTATAACATAAACAGTGAAACAAGTTAGCAGCTTCCAAATTATACTAGTCATGATGGTGTAAGGATCACTGATCACCATTGTATCCCCAGAGCCTAATATAGCTCAGCACTCATTTAAAATTTGTGTGTGTGTGTTGGGGGTGGGGGGGCAAATTAGTGAATGGCCACCATACCAAATAGGGTAAGTAGTGTTTGTTGTCGTTGTTAGGTGCCATTGAGTAGGTACTTAATCATAGTGATCCTATGTGATCCTATGCCCAACAGAACAAAACAATGCCTGGTCCTAGGCCAACCTCACAATTGTTGCCATGCTTGAGCCCATAGATGCTGCCATATTGCCAATCCATCTCGCTGGAGGTCTTCCTCTTTTTCTCTGACCCTCCACCTTACCAAGCATGATATCCTTCTCCAGTGACTGGTCCCTCCTGACAATATGTCCGAAGTATGAGAGACAAAGTTTGGCCATCCTGGCCTCAAGGAGCACTCTGATTGCACTTTGTGTTTAGAGTAATGAAAAAACCCAAAATATAGTGGCTCAAACACAATATAAGTTCTTTCTTATGTGATGATCGAAAGCAAGAATTGCTTGGGGAGAAGAGTGAATATCTTGCTTTATGCAGTTATTCAGACTCAGGTCAACTGGACTTCTGATGTGGTGCTGTAGGATCAACACTGGACTGTGAACCACAAGGCCAGCATTTCAAACCCATCAGCTGCTCCTTGGAAACCCTATACAGGGTCTCTATGAGTTGGAACCTACTCAGTGGCACTTAAGATAGCATTTTTGCTATTTTCAAGTAGCTTCCTGGGTACTCTGGTGGTTTTCATCCCCAGATGGTGGTTTCATTCCAGCTCACAGAAAGAGGGAATGAGCATCAAAGAATGCATCTAGTGGTCATGGCTAGAAATCACACGTATATCACTACTCCTGTTACTGTAGAGCTATTAATCACATGGCCCTATCTCATCATAAGAGAGGCTGAGAAAATCATCGAAGAAGAAAAATAGATTGTTTTGGGTGGACAGCTGTCAAGCTCTTCCATAGGCACTCTTTTACAGTAGCAATAGTTCATTCTGAATGTGGATTAGATTATACAGTTTTAAACAATAACTAATATGTATTTACAAATAAATGAATATCCAAATCTTCCATTAATCCATTGTTAATGAGAATATAACAAGTATTCTTCTCTTAGAGTTCAAGGTTAGAATAATGAACCTGTTTTGACTAACAGCAATTCATGTAGCCTTCAGATTGAGTTGTTTTGCATATTGAAAGAAGGCTTTTTTTTTTTTTTTTTTTTTTGGTTTATCTTTGTGAAAGCTTTCTCAGCATTATACAGTTTT